GCTGGTATTGACGAATATCATGATTCAGGATATCGATGAGACAATAACATCGCCACCTTCTGGTCATCTCCCTCCACGGCTCAGTCATCTAACGCTGCAGACCGCGCATCAAGCGACATCCTGGATGGATCCTGGAGCAACGTTTGTTCCTGCACTGGCTTCGTCTCGTTGGGGGCATTGGGCAGTCAGAAGGCGACCAGGAAATTACGGGACGCTTTCTGATGGCTCTTGGTCCTCATCTGAAGCATTTGAAAATATACCTCAGCAGTTGGTCTCATGCAGGTACGAGTGGTGCACTCAATCCACTGGCAAATCAATAACAGGCGAAATAGTTACATTAGTCACAACACGAATCTGCAAAGCTTCTCAATCAGTCGATATCGCTTGACTGTTAACAGTGGCAGTAGCAGCTCCGGAGCCGCCATATTCGAAGGGTTCACAGGACTGTTGGCTATGCTGGACCAAATATCCTCCCCTCATATAGATCACATCGCTTTGCGGTTCATTAACAATTCAGGGGACTTGGATAAAGTGCCATGGAACCAGATGGCAAGGTTGTTCGCGAACAAGTTCAAGGAATTGAAAAGCCTTCGAATTCGCTGCGTAGGCAAAGCGGAAGAGATGGACAGACTGGCGAAAATGTTTCCTAGGTTATATCACAAGGGGATTATTCAGTTCCGGTGCGATTCCGATTCAGATAACGGAGCAGAGTAGATGTAACAACATGTAAATGTAAATAGGCGCGATATTAGTAAGGATGATTAGTGCGCTGGAAGGTGACTGGTTTAGAGGAGCACACTGATCTATGTATTTAGAAGGGATGGTTTAGAGAGCCCGAGGGCAGCAATTAGTGGGTTTGATGGCTTCCAACGACGCCTTCACATCGTTTGCAAAGAGTATCCTCTTCAGAACGAGTGTATGTCCAGCATCGTGGGCATTTTTGTTGAGCAGCAGGTTGGACGCGAATTGATATCTCATGAGATTCTGATCACCAGATTAGAAACGAAAGAGAAGATATTTAGAGTTATACTCACCTGCAACCGGAAGTGAAGCTTCGTAAAACCATTTATGCTCCCCAGGAGAGGACTTGCTTTTAGGCTGAAGCGATACTCGAGAAACAATGAACAAGGTTTGCAGGATATTGGCTGTATTCCGTTATATTTGTCAGTTTTCTTCGTAGCAGGAATAATTTGAATTCATACCTTCACGAGATAATACGTTCAACGACGGATTGGAGGGAAGACCCTCTGGCAACGTAATATGTACGTCGGCTTCTAACGAGCTCTTGATCTGTCTATTAAGAAAGGTTAGGGGGGCGTTTAAGTTTTTGGAGAACAAGAACATGCTTCTCGCGGCGGGCCTTCTCAAGCAAGGAAAGAGCCATGGTCCTAATCCTCAACAGCTGGCCTATGTCTTCAGCGCTTTGCTCGTCCTTCCATTCTATGCTCTACAATAACCAAAACACTTAGCGAGGGAAAACATTTTGATGCCATATAAATACACACCAAAGGCGTCCACGGCGTCATGAAAACAGATTTGCCGTCAGCCTTCCTTATCGCATGAATTTCCTCGCTAGGTAAGGAAGGATGGGAGACATGATCTTGGTTAACCTATCCAAAATCTGGGGACAAGATGTCGTCAATCACAAATTCAAGGTAAAATAGATAGCAATGACCTGTTCGAGAACGGTGACGACGGCTCTCCTTTCTCGGCTATTGGCGCTATCGGCATAGAGGCAATCTTTTGTGATATCGAAATAGAAGGACGAGACGGTATTATTCACGAAGTTGTTCAGCGCGTGAATGACTGTAAACAATGGGTCAATCAACACAGAACAAACAGGGATAAGATATTGATGTTTACCTCTTGGGAAGTTATAAGAGCCATAAGCTTCCAATGATGTCTGCTCTAAAGTGTAGAGCTCATGCATGACGTATTTCTCAGTCTGAAAATTTTACTACTCAGACTATTGGACGCGATAAAAATTAACAACGAAGAACTCACCAAACCCATTTCATGCTTGGGCACTCTCTGTAAATTGCCAAGGCCTCTTTGGAGCCCATATTCCCCAGACAGAATCGTGCAGTGTTCCTGAACTTGCGCAGCGACTCCGCAGACTGAGCAATGACAATAGGTCCTATAGACATGTCTTTCCAGAAGTCGACGCTGGCCGCCCACAACCGCAGGAAATCAGGCCCATACGGTGGTTGCTTTTTATCCTAAAACGGGAATAGGCATAAATAATTAAAAATGAACTGAGAAACCGAGAGGAAAAAAGAGACATACAGAGGACCCATGCACAATGGTCATCGGGCTGATGATATTGCCCAATGACTTGCTCATTTTCTTCCCTTTCTCGTCCAACACCATCCCATGCGTAAACAGGTTCGCATACGGACTGACAGGCGCCTCATCCGCGTCCCGGGAGCCAATCGCCGTCAACAACTGGCTCTGGAACCAGCCCCGGTGCTGATCGGATCCCTCCAAGCACAGATCCGCATCATGCTTCCGCCCCGTCCCCGGCACACCCTGACGGTCGCGGCCGACGCCCATCTCAGCGAGCATCGACCACGACGAGCCGCTGTCGAACCACACGTCCATCGTGTCTCTGCCCTTCTCCCACGTCTCTGCCGCGGACTTGCCGTCCTCAAGCAGCCACGGGGGCACGAATTCCTCGATGGGAGCCTGGTACCAGTCCAGGTTCTTGCTCTCCATGGCGTTGAGGATGTAATCGAGGGTGGGGGAGTCGAGGACGACCCGGCCGGTGGCGATGTGCTGCAGTGCGGGGATAGGGACGCCCCAGACGCGCTGGCGCGAGATGCACCATTCCGAGCGAGAGCGAACGAAGGCTTCTAGGCGATTCCGGGCTATTTGGGGTGGTAAAATGAGATGGTGTGGCTAATAAGCCAAGAGATACTTACAAGATTCAGGGAAGAACGATACATCTTTGAGTGCTGTTAAAGCATCTTCTTTTATGAAATCGAGGTTTGCGAACCATTGAGAAGTAGCACTGTACACATTCTGCGTCAATAACGACCGAACGAAGGGAGTGAAAAATAAGTTTCTCACGTAACGATGATAGGCTCCTTCGTCCTCCAATCATAGGGATACCGATGCTTAATCCTCTGAATCTTAACAAGGCAGCCCATTTCCTTCAAAATTGCCACCATCTCCTTATTCCCGTCGCCTAATACCTCCTTTCCTGCCAATCGCTTCGCAAACTCCGGGCCCACGACATCAGCAACGTCACTTACGAACTGTCCTTTGCCGTCGACGTGGCAGATTAGGCCGGTGGTGGAATTGAGGCCGCGCAGGGCTTCGTAGTCTTCTGCTCCGTGAGCAGGGGCGCAGTGAACGAGACCCGTACCAGATTGTGATGTTACATGGGCGGCATTTATGATGGGCAAGGATTGAGTAGATGCGGGAAAAATTGGTTTGTATGTGGCATTGAGGAGATCCCTTCCTGCGATATGTATCATCAGCGAAGAACATAACGACGATAATTCGAACATACCTTCCACCTTGGTCAGAATATCTACCGGACCTAGAAAGGCGCTCAACGCTTCTAGTCTTTCCTCGGCTACGATCATAAGGCTTCCATCTTCAGATTCGTTGCGCTTGATTATTGCATATATAAGGTCTTCATGGACAGCAATGGCCTAGAGACTCGTTATTGTAATCAATATAGATTTATTGAAATATACTCACCATATTGGCCGATAATGTCCATGGAGTGGTTGTCCACACAAGCAACTGTACATTTGGCGCTTTGGAAACAAGTTTCTCAAGTTCACTTTGCGCGAAGACCGAGCTTTTGTCAAGTTCAAAAGTAACATAGACTGAGTGAGATACATGGTTGTCGCTATATTCCAATTCCGCTTCTGCGAGAGCTGTGCGAGAGGACGGGGAATAGTGAACCGGTCGGTGCTGTCGATAGATCTGGCCTTTCTCAACCATCTTTTGGAATATGCGTAGCTGACGCATCTCGTAGTGGCGGTCTACGTACGGTCAGAATTTCGTAGAGAGTCAACGAAGGCAACAGACGCACCCAAAGTTCGATAAGTCTGTTCCTCCGAATCCCAATCTGCCATGATTCCCAATGTTTTGAATTGTTCCTTCTGCGAGTTGACCTCTCGCAGCGCCGTTGTCCTTGCACCATCCCGAATAACAGATGCCGGTGTGTCTATGGCTTTCCGCTGCAAGTTCTTGGGTCAACCAAGGTCATGGAACAGAACGGAAGGACATACATCCATTTCCTTCAGTGCCTTGTTTTCAATCGGCAATCCATGGCAGTCCCATCCTGGCACATAGCTGCGCGTTAATTCAGCGGAAATCGATGCGAGAACAAGATTACATTGCGTACTGAATTTTGCGGCCTTGGGTTAAGTGAAAGCGGTTGATGATGTCCTTAATGACCTTATTCAAGGCATGGCCTGCAAAAAGTATCAGCGAGTAGGATGCAAATATTTCTCAACACATACCCATATGTAAGTCACCATTTGCATAAGGTGGCCCATCGTGCAGAACGAAAACAGGACCGTTGACATTCTCCCGCTGCGCAAATTAACAACCCATCACCTGAATTCAACATGATTCATACCTGCCACCTGTAGAGCGTCTCACGTGTCAAATCACCATAGGCAGCCTCGATTTCCTGAAGTTTGGTCGCAATGGAAAAGTGGTTTTGGGAAGAAGCAAAGTATCTGTGAACACCTTGTTGTCGAGAGCTTCAGTGGGTTTTTTGCGTTGGTGGACAGATAACGCGAAAGCGCCTTCTTCTGAATAAAATGTCTTCCAGGAGATCGCAAGACGCGTTGACATCGAACACTAACGCGAAATCGTTGGCTCCCAGCGACTTGAGCCCAAGAATATGTGTCGGGCAAGAGCGTCACTAAATCGCAATTTGAATTGGTGGGCCGCGATCCGATGTCATTTCCCACGGTGTACCACTTCCCTTTCTTCCAACTGCCTCTTAACCACAACAACCAGAAGTTGGACAAGGGCGCTTGGCACAGTGGTAGCGCGCCTGCTTTGCATACAAGTATGACTGCATGAGGTCGTGAGTTCAAACCTCACAGCGTCCATTTTTTCCTCAAATCACAGTTGACTACCCTGTAGCGGCGCAGCACAGCAACCAGCAACTTGCAAGGATCGGGGTTTTTTTCGCACCCCGATTTTATCCACCTGTGTAATGTATTCACCTTGTATTCACCTTCGACCGAAAGTTTCCAACTGACGTGGCATCCTAACTGATTTTCTCTATTTCTATGTGTCAACTTACATATCAGCGCTCGATGTTAGGGGTCAAACCTCCAGCGCTCGGTCGTCCGAAGTCTTGAACATCATATTGGTCCTTGGATCTTGGTGCCTGCAAAATGCAGCCCAACAAGCTTGGTTGTTACTGAATGACCTCATCCTTTCATGCGTAAGTGAAAGTCTTTTCTACAAGGGATGAATCTTATCTTAACTATTTGAATACGCCAGTTAGCAGGTGCCTGCAGAGTTATAACTATAATGGGCTCATCCTGGAGAGTGAGTCGTCCAAGTTGGTGCACTGGGAATATATTAGGGCAACATTACCCAATAGGTTAGGCAGTGGAGTTGGTGCGGTGAGCTTTCTTTCTTTCTTCCTTGACATCTGGGAAAGTTATCGAAAGATTCTAAATGACGTCCGTCATTACCTGACCACGCCTTTCTTTGATGTCCTCCTGCTCCTCAAACTCGATAGTCGATGATATACTATAGCTCCTTAAGTTCACAAGCTACGAGTACAAATCATGAAAGCCTTTGCAGCCTTGTGCAGCCTCGTACGCGTCTTCACTTCAGGGCACTCCGGTGACCCCGAAATCTCGGAAGACCAGTTGGAAACAAACATTACAGCAATCGGCCCTTCCATTCATCTTTTTCACTGTCAATTATTGCCATCTATGACGCATTCGTAGCTTGTAAGTCGTCACCTCCCTTGTCACCTCCGCCTACGAAAGTGTCGTTTCAAGTTATACTTCGACTTACACCTTAATCGAAGATTGGCCCTTTTCTTCGCTTCTGACATCCGGAATGTCTGGAAATAGCTCATGATGTCAACATGGTGTGGTTATCCTTGCCGTTTACGATCTCTGGCTGTCGTTCTTCTGCTTCCTGGAGACTCCCTCATTCACATGCTCTCATGCAAGAAGGAATAACGGTCATCAAACAATTGAATCCTTCATTTCTGATCCTGACAATCTGGCAGCTCGGAAGTGCGTGCTACATACAACCTCAAAAATCATCCATTCAACCATAGGTGCTATGCCGAATGGATGAATGTACCTTTCTAGGAACGCTACGATCCCCGGAAGTCGATCAGAATGCATGAGCCAGTTGGCAAAGCTTCCTCATTGGGCGGCTAGAAAGGTCTGCCTGTTCTCTGCCAATTGGTATATTAAGGGCTCGTACATCCATGAATATTCATTCCTCCAGCTCATCCCCGCAATGGCTTCCGGAGGCAAGTTCGAAAGTGCGCTTCTTGCTCTGTCTCTACCTTTGTATGTGATCATCTATGGGGTTTATGTTCTCGTCTGATATTGGTTCATCATGGATGCAGGCTTTCCTCTCTGGTATTCTCTGTCTTTTGGTTCATAAAACTATGGACTTAATTTTTCTATGAAGCAAATCGGAGCGCTGATTACATGGGGCCTACAAGGGGTGTTGTGTGTCCAAGTCTGTGAGTGTTGAAAAAAATTGTTCGCTTTCTCTCACTGATATATATCGAAGACAATTATTATTTAAGCTTTCCCAAGGATCCAATATACATGAAAGTGCTAGTTACTTTTCCATAATTCTCGAGCTCTTACAAACCCTGCTGGTGACGCACGACACCTACGACATATTTGTCAAAGGGTTCGGAGATATTGCGGACTTGGACGACTTGCGCTTTCTTTGGTTTACTCTACCCATTCTCGGAGGCACTGGTCAGTCCTTTAGTATCCTTGTTCAATTTATGTGGCTTGACGAATTAAATGCGATAGTTGGATTTCTCTGTCACTTAACATTCGCCTACCGTATCTCCCTTCTGTCTGAATCAAAGATCATGGAGGACTCATCACATCCGTGAGTGATGGATCTGTCAGTGTGGCGTCAACCTTTTGCTCATGCGCGACCGTTCCTTGTAATCACTATAGATTGCTATTTGCGCTTGTGTTTCGGCTTTGGTGTTCGGAGGAAAGCTATTTAGGCGGGACTCCTCTCGAAAACGGTGACCGCTAACCACATCTATCTTACATGCGGGGTGAGCTGCAATGGTATTTGGCTGATTGATTTTCGGCGCTGATTATCATGCGCAGATGTGGAATGGATCTGGAGCCATTTGTGACATTGCGATAGCGGGCTATATGACTTACTATGTAGCGAAGCGTTTGAACTGTAACAAATGCTATTGGCGCTAACAAGAATAATATACTAGCTATCGCGGAACAGTACTGGCTTTCGCAACACCGATCTTCTCATTACTCGGATTATTCGTCTCACCATCGAAACTGGAGTTCTTACCGGTGATTATTCTGTAGCCTTTCTGGGCAATAACCGAATTGATCATGCACTTTAGCCACGGCATCCATCTCCAGCGCCGTCCTTTTCGTCGGCTTCCGCCAGCGAATAACCATCAGCGTCTACTTCATCGTTCCCGCCATTATGATCACTAAACTGTACGCCATTACCATCCTAGCAACGTTAACAACCGGCCCCACGCTGTCGGGGGCCCGCCTCCTCTGACGGACATCGAAACATGCTTCGATGACAGTCTCATACCAAGCATCACTCTACCACGCGCAATCTGGAGGACCCGGGGAAGGAAATCCGCATCGGCCGTACTGTTGTGCAGCAGGTGTGGAAAGACGAGTACCCATGTCATATCTCAATGTAAGCATGCTGTCAATTGCCTGTAGTACCCTTTTCTTATCTTATTATAGATGTGTGAAGATGAAAGTGGTCAGTCGATCAGAGACGATGATGCAGACTCAGCTAGAAAGGTCCAGGAGACACTGACTCCAGAAATAACACACCCCAGAAGTTCTAACCATCACTATACCACGCAGCAATGGTATTGAATAGCATCCCTATCGCCTGCTGTTTGATACACTGGTGACACCGCTATACACTACTTCACCTACTCTTCCCAGCGAATGACCAAAGGACTAACAAATAGCTGTACAACAACATTTTGTATCGACATATATATGTGAAAGAAGGACTGCATTATGGCTTTCGAGTTCTCAGCGATGTAGAAATGAATCAATACATGAATAGAATGATTATTTCTGTAGTTCCCTGAGTACATTTGCCAACCGCTCTTTCCGCATCGGTATCCATAACGTCTCCCCACTGCCCATAGTGGCTGGTGCAGATACGATGAGATTATGATCTCGGAACTCTCCCAGTAATGCGCGGAGCGCAGTATCGTTATGAGCATAGAAGTTCTCCTTCGCCATCGTGGATAAGAATTCATACGTTACGCCGAATTGCTGCAAGTCCGCCGATGCACCATCCTCCGCGTTGCTGATATTTTCTAGTTGGATATTGCCAAGAGTGATGAAGAGTTTTTGTGCCTTCTGCGTGACCGATGCGAGGATATGTGATGCAGCGGTTTCAGTCATAGCAGTAGCGTTCTGCGCTGCTAACGTGTCAGCCTTGCGACGTGCGCCGCCTGTGTGAGCGCCAGATAGGGAAGCGCGATCGGCGTATGCGAGCTCAAAATCGTAAGGTACGAGGGTTGTCAAGTCGTGCCAGAGCCATGAAAACCCCCGCGAAGGGGTGGTGGTATCGGCTTGGACCTCATCAGGTTTTCGAGAGAAAATCTCGGAAGAGGACCATAGTAGGGGTGCGTTGATGTGATCAATGGACGCGATGACGTGAATTCGTGGATTATGGGCTAAAAGCGATAATATAGATTTCGATTTTGCGGCACGGAAAGGGGCAGCGTCGATATTGTGAATAATGAGGTAGAGATCAACTTGCTGGGTGGCTTTTGCAAAGAATTCGTATATTCTGCGTGCTTGCTTTTCGACATTGGCGGAAGGGAATTCCAAATCCTGGATGCCGGGGATTTCTTCTATTGAATTGAGCATGTCCTTGAGAGTGAATTCAGGCTGAAACCCGTTGACTACCACGACATGACCGTGTTTGGAACAGTGGCTCGTCGCGAATTGGTTTAATAAACGTCGTTTAGACCCTAGTCCATAGCATAGATATTGAAGCCTTCGTTTAGTTCGGCAATAAAACGCGAAAATATGAGTCCCGGTTCTCGCCCGACAACATTGTCGGCAGAATGGAGGATGGCCCTTTGGATATGGGGCCAATAGCATTTGTATATTCCTCTGGGCTCAAAGGTAGAACAAGCTGAGATACACGTTGGATGAAGTTTGGACTCGCCCGGGTTTATTATACGTGAAGTACGCGTCAAAAGTCGTTTGAACTATGATCACACTCTGCTCAACCAGATCTCTCGCCTTTCCTTTTCCCTTCTGCGGTGATCCAGACGCGTGATTGTCGATATCTTCAGAATGATCAGACTCATCTGAGAGCTCGGCATCTTCCTGGTCTTCTTCTTCGCTAAATATTTCAGGCTCTTGGGCAAACGAGGGTAGATGTCGGGGCATTTCGATGGGCGATTGAGAAGTCGTAAAGGTGGATGTGTTTTTTAAGTTCACGTCAGTTCAGTGAGTCCCGAAGAACGGCGTTATTTGGTTGTGCTTGTCAACATCTTCCAGCACGTGACCGCATCGTGCTAACTTCTCGTCAACGTTACAACTCGTTTCTCCGACTTAACCTCAACTCCTTCCTTGCCCCTTCCACTCTTTGGCTGCATTCATCCATCTCCAAGACACAATTTGGGCTGTTTAAATTTAAAGACATCCATATAATCTGCTTTGATATGAATTTCCGAAGAATCCAACGTCAACTAGCCAAGCAGACGGCTAATCTTCGCGACGGCTGTGAGTGGACTTCGATATCAAGCGTTTAAAAGCCCTCTGTCCATTCATAGGCTGATGCTCGAAATATCGGAACGTTTAAAGCTGGATTTTCTTTATTTTTGAGGCATTAAAGTTTA